GAGCCATCATGGATTGCCTCTTTATATGATTTGATATTGACTGTTGTCTCTGAGCCGTCAATAAGTTATTATATTGATTTATTTTATGTTTGCTTACTGTGTCCTAGCTTCTTGTTTTGTTTTGATATGCCCAAATAGGCTGCTTGTATGAGCTAGTTTGATTATTGGCAACTTTGAAGCTCTACTTACTAGGTATGTGAGCTCAGGAGTCCGCCCACTCCTTCTGTATGGATTCAGCTCAGGTGCCCAGGTGGATAGCCACCAAGTGTGTGGTATAAACTCTCACAGCCCTAGACAGGCATGGGTGATTGGTGTAGGCACAGGCATCTGGCTGCAGTAGGGGGACACACTCCGAACAAGGCAGGGGGCTCAAGGCCACCCCCGAGTGTCCAGGAGGAAGGCACATCCCTGTTCCCTAGAGTGCATAGGTGGGTGGGTTTTGCAGCTGGACTAGGAGCACCTAATGCTGTTGGCTGTAAGGACTAGGGGACACCTCTTATTCACGGGCCCCTATCGCAGGTGGCTACGTGGTGTGGGTGGAGCCACCAGTCCTCAGGCCGCTGATGTGGGTAGGTGAAGACCCTCCTTAATGGGCAGAGCAGCGTCAAATGTCACGAACCTGCCACTTCACAGCTGAAACAGTTGAAGTTAGACATCAGGTATATACCCTGTTGTACTGCAGTAGTGAGGGCCTATGCTGTTGAGATGGACCCACACAAGTCTATGCAGGGGGAAAGGCACTCAAAGTCCATGGATCCCTTATGCCTGTGCCTAGGAAAAGGAGCTGTGCCTACCCTGGGTTCCTGGCTTAGGGGAGCTGGCAGTTTATTATTTCCCGTTATTCTGTTCACTCTCCAAGGCTGGGAGAATGGCTCTGGGCTTGTGACAGATCCTACTTCCAGCCCAGGGGACTAGGAAATTGCTGAAGCCAGTCCAGGACCCAGTGCAGAGCAGGGAGTGGGGAGGTAAATAGCAGAGAGGTTTTTCCCTAAGGGGGGTGTTTTTGATCTGTGCAGTAGGCCAGACGCAATTACTTATCTTTCGCTGGTCGAGGGCTGCTTCTCACTGGTTCTGGGTGGCTGTGTAGACTCTCTGGCACTGGTTCTCTCCCAGTGCTGAAAATGTGCCTCCCAAGCACCACTGCTTGCCTGCCTCACCGATCACCACTGAGCTGATCAGGCCTGAAGGGCTCAGGCTCTCGCCGGGGTAGGACTGGCAACTCCTCGCTGCTTCCGAACCATGTCTCCCTCCCCCTGCCACTGAGTCCGGTTCCTCAACTCTGCCTTTGAGGCTCAGGGCTCCCAGATTGTCGTATATAATTGATTCACTTGTTTTTTTCAGGTCTTTGTTGTAAGAGGGTCCACTGGAAGCATCTGACTACTCTGCCATCTTGGCCTGTATTATGTTTTAATGAAGTCCCTGAATAGTGCAAACAGTTAACACATTTGGCTGATACCCAAAATACTGGCAGTTTGAGTCCACCCAGAGATGCCTCAGGAGAAAGGCCTGGTGATCTACTTCCAAAAAAAAAAGCAGCCATTGAAAACCCTGTGGAGCACAGTTTTACTCTGATACACATTGAATCATCATGAGTTGGCATCGACTTGATGGCAATTCATTTGATATGTTTTAATATCTGGTAAAGCAAACTTGGCTTATTATACTTGTTTTTCAAAAATTTCTTATTCTTCTAGATAACTTTTAGTATCCAATTTACCCCTAAAACCATATTTTATTTTGATGAGAATCACATCAATCCTATTTTGATTTTAAAATAGTCCATCTTACCATCCAGGAACACAGATGGAACATACCTAATAATTTCATTTTAAAGACAAGACCCTGAGGATCAGAGAAGGGAAGTGGGGTAAGAGCCAGGTCTCTGATTCCCAGTCCAGCACTCTCCCCACTGCACCCTGCAGACCATCCTCCTCCCCACCGGAGGTGAATTCTGCGTCCAACCTGTGAGTCTCCAGTCCCCGCAACCACCAACCAGTTCCTGCTGGCTGTGTAGGGGTAGGGGGGCTATCCTCCTGCTTACCTGGTGGGCAGTTCTCCAGCAGGTGGACGGTGAGGGCATGAGGGCTAAACGTGGGCCGGTTGTCATTGTCATCCAGGATGGTGACCAGTAGGGCAGCTGTGCCATTGAGCAGCCCGATGTCCTCAGCCAGCAGCAGCAACTCCAGGATGGGAGGTGAGAAAGCCTCCCGGTCAATGATGACCCCTGACCTAACCGTCACCATGCCTGTCACCCAGTGCCACCAGTCAGGGAGGTATCAAGGAAAAAGGGTGCAATAGGGAGAGTGGGAAAGAGCCAAGAAGGAGGTGACAGAGAAAGATGGGGCCACGGCAGGGAAACAGGTGAAGAGAAGCAGAGAAACTTCAAGTCAACACAATGTCTCTCTTCCCTACAGGTCCAACCACCCATACTGAGTGTGCAGCTACTATGTGCCAGGCTGTGTGACCCGTGGTTTTCCTCCCTGGGTGCCCTCTGCAGTCCTCAAGAGCCCTGCCTGGGATGAGTGAGCAGGGTGGAGGACTGCCTGCCCCACTGAGTTGTGTGTCCCTCCCTGTTGCCAAATCACCCTCCTGGCCAGGACCAGACTGATGTGACCTGGTCTCTGGGAGCTTTGGGGCTGGTGTGAGGACAGGAGAGCTGCTTTGAGTACTTCTGACCGATGCTGGGGGGGTGGGTGCCTGAGCATGTTCAGTGGGAGATGGAGGGAGTGCAGTGGGCCTGCCTAGTCTGAGAATGTGTGCACCAGTGGGTCCCGCCTGTCATTTCCAAACCTCTTCCTGAGTCCTTCTGCCTGTTACAACCCCCCTGGGGGGAGGGCTAATCCAGCTGCTACATGGGGGCTCTGGGCTGGAGAAAGAGGGTTCGGGATCCAGCACTAAGAAGGCAAGCCCCAGCTCTTGCAGTGGGGCCACACCCACCCTAGCAGGGGAGACTCAAGCCAGGTAGGGGTGGTGGCAGGTGGTGGTGGCAGAGGAGGCCTCACCAGTGCTGTTGTTGATGTCAAAGAGGCCACTCTGGGCACCCAGCAGTTGGTAGGTCACCACGGCATAGATATCCTGGTCCGCATCCAGGGCCAGGATGGGCCCATTGAGCACTGTGATAGGGGTCCCTGGGCCAAGGGGAGAAGGGTCACTGCAGGGCCGACCCGGCCCCGGCCCTCCCCCCTCCCTGCCCTTCCCGGTGAACCATGGCTGATGATGGATGAGAGGGGAGAGTGGAGGGGAGAGGGAGGAGGGGAGGTCCCGGGGGTGGGAAGGGGCTGCGGCAGCCTTGGCAGACTGAACGCAGATGCCTGGGGAGCGGCCTCAAAGCCCTGCTGGGGAAAAAACACAACAGCGGTGAGCAAGCCCTTGGGCCCGCCCTGAGCCCTGCCTGCCTTCCCAGCAGCCTTTGAGGCTGGCCACTCCTGGGAGGGTCTGGGGGCTCCCTGACATCACCTTCCCGTGTGCGGGCCCTGCCTGGGTTTGCACACACAGCCCAGTCTGCCTACACATGTGTGCCCAATGCTCTATGCACAGGAGTTCCTATACCTGACTAGGAATATAGTGTGCGCACACACGTGGGAACACTCATAAGGTGATTCACCTGGTCGTGGGTGTGTCTGCCTCTGCAGGTGTGCATATTTGCAAGCGTGAGTGCATGGTGTAGGCACCCATGCCTACGTACGTCTGCACGTGGGTAAGCTCACACATGTGCCAGATACAGACACAATGGCACGTGTGCGAGCATACACACAGGCGAGGCTGAAGAATCAAGTGCACGCTGACGCCCAGCAAGAGACTAGAAGTGTTTCAGCTCGTCTCTGACTCGGCATTTGAGCTTCAGGGAGAGGAGGCTGGAGGAGTGGGGGCATCGCCTCTGGGGACTTTGTTCCTTTGAATGGGGGTATGAGGAAAGGGTCATGCTGATCTACTCAGGGCCTGACCCTCACCTCTGATTACAGCCAATCCTCACACCTTAAACGCCCTCTGGAGGGGGCAGTGCTCTCAGACCACACTGGGGACTCATGACCACAGCTAGCTATCTCTTCCAACCAGAAGCCTTTCTAAGAAGCCTGGCGGCCTGGCCAACCAGCCCCTCAGTGCTGTGCCCCTATCTTCCCTCCTGTGCCCTCCCACACCTGTCAGGGTCTGTGTTCAGGCCTCCCCAGCCAGGCCTCAGCAGGGCCCCCATCGGGCAGGAGATGGGTCCTCAGGTATCCGAGGTCCCAGTGGTGCCTGGCAGTGGCAGGGGTTCCCAAGTGGGCCCAGCACCTACCAGCGGGAGAGTTCTCCATCACCTCAGCCTGGTAGGTGCTCTCAGTAAAGAGGGGGTGGTTGTCATTCTCATCCGAAAGGAAGATCAGCAGAAAGTCAAAATCCTGTGGGGGGCAGGGTACAGGGCAGGTTGTAGGCCATATTCAAGCAAAGCACCAGAGTAGGAGTGGGGCTAGGAGGTTGGTGGGGGGTTTAGGGCACAGAGGTAGATGATTAAAAAGCCCAAACCAGGGGTCCACAGACCTGGGTTCAAGCCCCTGCTCTGCTAGCAGCTCACTGGGTGGCTTTGGACAAGTCATTTCCCCTGTCTGGGCCTCAGTTTTCCAGTCTGGCAAATGGGGATGTTAACTCCTTCATGGGCATATTGTGAAGTTCACAGGAGACAGTGGGCGTGAAAGGTATTTAATCGTGTCCCATCTTGTTAAGGATGGGTTTCAGGCAGGAAGATGAGTCTTGTTTTTGACACCTAAAGGCCTGCCTGATGCCGGATCAGAGCTCACTCAAACCCTCACCCCCTGCCACACTTTATACCTTTCAAACCGCATTTGCATTCCTGTCTCTTGGGATTCTCAGGACCCCTGGGAACCATCTCCATTTCAGAACTGAGGAAACCAAGGCCCAGAGAGGGGATGTGACCCCTCGAAGCCACAGGATGAGTTAGCAGCTGAGTGGGGACTAGAACCCAAGTCTCCCAATTCCCACTTCTTAATGCTGCTTCTTCCCAGGATAACCCAGGCCCCTCCTAAAGCACCGGCGGACGAGGGAACAAATGAGGGCAAGGAGGAGAGAAAGGGGGAGGTAGGAAGCGAGAGAAGGAGGGAAGGCAGAGGAGCACAGAACAAGAGGGGCAGGTGGCTGATGAGTACCTGCAGCTGGAAGGCTCCACTGGCTAGATAGATGGGGAAACTGAGGCCCAGGAAGGGCAGTGGCTTGTTAGTCAGGAGCAGAGCTGAGCTAAGCCCAGGGCCAGGGAGTCCCGGCCAGGGCTCTGCTCCAGACCTCATGGGCTGGTGAGAGAGACCCCCACCTCCAAAGGGGCTGTTTGCTGTGCAGCATCTACCGCCTCTTAGTAAAGAGAGTCAACTTCTTTGTTTTTTGAGGGGAAAGCCAACTGGAAAACCCAGTTCTTCCAGGACTCAGAGAATATGTTTGTGAGTGCGTGCATGCCATGTGCACACACAGCTGTGGTGTGTGCCCAGGGAGGAAAAATAACAGCTGGTATTTATTGAGTGTTTGCCACCTGTCAGGTAATGTGCTGAATACTCGAAATATACTGGCTCCTTCGATCCTCTACACAACTTCGGGGTAGGTGGTATCATCATTTTGCAGGAGAGAAGATGAACGCCGAGAGAAATTAACCTGCCAAAGCCATACGCCTATGACAGGCAGCACTGGGATTTGAATCCAGCACTTGGCTGACGCCAAAACCTGTGCATTTAACTCCGGGGCCATGCTGTCTCCTGGAGGGGAGATGTTGTATCTCTCTGTTTGCCAACACCCACCCCTGCTCCCACCCGGGCCTCCAGTCTCACCCTCCTGGCTATGCGTGGGTTCTCCGGGTTGTCCTTCACAGAGATGGTCAGCTTGTACTCTGGGATCCGCTCACGGTCCAGGGGCCGGTTCACGGTGATGATCCCTGTCTGGGATGTGGAGGGCTGGTGAGCTGAGTAGTGATCTCTTCCCAACACTGGGCTCTAACCCACAAACGCCCCCCTGCTCTGCCTGCAGCTCTGGGGATGGCTGTAAATTCCCTCCCTAAATCACCAAAGATACAGTCTAGAAGGCCAAGTCTGGCCTAGACCTGCAGGGTCTTGCCAGGGCGCAGTGACCCTCCGATGCTCAGGTCTTGCTGCCTCAAAGGGATGGACCCTCTGATGACCCCGTGGTGGGGCAGCCTGGTCACATTCCAAGAGGCCAAGTGGGGACTTCCTGGTGCATCTTGGTACGGACCAATCAGGTGGACTAGAGGCCCTGGCACCACCTCTGCACATGATAAGCCTCAGGGATGAGAGGGAGGCAGGGCTGGCTCTAGGTGGACCCCAGAGATGGCTCAGCTGGGGAATCCAAGATTCCATGCTTCCTCTAGAGATTCCCTCATCCCAGTGGAAGGAGAAGGCCTGATGAGAGACTGAAACAGAAGGAGCCCAGGCAGCAGCAGTAGAAACTAAGGCCCTAGGGAAGGGTCCTCTTTGGTAGGGACACCCTGGTGGGCCTTCCCGGGTCAGGCTTGGCTGTACCGTGGCACTGATGAAGAAGGCCTGCTCGCGGTTGCCAGCAGTGATGTTGAAGGTGAGCAGCGCGTTGCAGCCACTGTCAGCATCACTGGCCAGGATGTGGGCGACAGAGCTGGAGACGGGGGTGTTCTCACTGATGGTGATGTTCATGGGCAGGTTCAGCAGCACGGGGTCATTGTCATTGATGTCCAGCACCTGGATCCCCACCAGCATCTGGAGGCCAGGGGAGGAGGGGAGAGGAGGTGGTGCAGGAGCAGGACAAGAAGAAAAGGGAGGTCGGGGGAGAGAGGGTGGTGGGAGAAGAAGGGAGAGGAAGAGAAAGTGATGGTGGACATGGCGGCAGAGGAGAGGAGATGACGGAAAAGATGGAGCAGGACAGCAGAGGTGTGGTAATGGAGGAGCAGAAGGTGGAGTTGGTGGTGGAGAAGAAAGAGGAAGAGGAAGAAAAGGATAATTAAAAAGGCAAAAGAGGGAAGCAGGAAAGGTCAAAGGGGGGAGTCGGGGGAGAGGGAGGGATACGGAAGGACAGCGGCTGGGCAGGGGCTGGGTGCAGAGGCTCGGCTGTGGGGGATGGTGAGGAGCACACTAATGGTGAGCCCTGAGAGGACTCGGGGGTCTGCTAAGGGTGCTAAGGTCTGCCAGGAGGGTAGCTGTGTTTACAGATGAAGACGTGTCCTGGCTGTCAGTGGAGTCTCTCTAGAGTGTGCAGGAGGTGGTGGGGTAAAGCCAGTGGAAGGGGGCCCCCAGGCTCACCGTGGAGCTGAGCGGGGGCACGCCCCTGTCGCGGGCACAGATGGTCAGGTTGTAGAAGGCAATGGTCTCCCGGTCCAGTTCCACATCCTTCCGGACCCGCAGCACCCCCTCTACAGGAGAGATGAGAAACTCCCCTGGGTATGCCCAGAAGAGGCAAGAGTTAACAGGCACGGCCAGGAGCTATGGAGAGCCCAGGCCTTTTCCTGCTCCCTCTAGCAAGCCCTACTCTCCAAGAGTGGGCCCCCAGCTTCGATCCTCATGGGACCTGCCAAGGGCTGGGAAGTGCAGAGGTGAGAGGAACAGGTAACTGCCAGGGGTGCAGGTGGGCATGGGCCGCTTACACCCCTCATGTGCCTGTGATGCCAGACCAATTGGTTCCTTTCTGGGCCTGGTCTCCCCATCTGTAGGACAGACAGGGTCACTTCTTCCTATCTGTACAATGGGCAGGCCAGGGACTAACCCTGGTTAAGAGGGTTAAGTTGAAAAAGTGAGGGCTTTCTTTCTACAGTCCCTGGATGGCACAAACAGTTGAGCATTTTGCTGCTAACCAAAAGGTTGGCAGTTCGAGTCCACTCAGAAGCACCTTGGAAGAAAGGCCTGGCAACCTGTTTCTGAAAAATCAGTCACTGAAAACCCTAGGGAGCACAGTTCTACTCTGACACACATAGGGTCACCATGAGTTGAAGTCTACTTGATGCCAACTTCTTTTTTTCTTGCTTTCTACACAAGTACCTTCTTTCTAAGGAGCCATGGTGGCACACCAGTTAAATGCTCGGTTGCTAACTGAAAGGTTGGCAGTTCGAACCCACCCATCAACTCTGCGAAAGAAAGACCTGGTGATTTGCTTCCATAAAGATTACAGCCTAGAAAACCCTACTGGGCAGTTCTACTCTGACACACATAGGGTTGCTATGAGTCAAAATCAATTCAACAGCACTTAACAACAACAACAACACCCTCTTTCTAATCCCCATTGATCAGAAATGGATTATTGAAGGTCTCAGGAACTTTTTAATGTGTGATCCCTCCTAGATACCACGTCTCGTTTGAAAAAAAAAAAGGATATTGGAGCAGGGCAAAGCTTAACAAAAAGGAATGTCTTGCTAATGGTGAAGGCAGGCACCGGGGCAGGACAGAGTAGGAGAGGTAAGCCCCCACTGCCCTCCATGCATCCCAGGTGGAGTGAGAGGGCTCTCCCAGGCTGTGGTGGTCCCTTAGCCCTAGTCGGCCCTGACTTCCTTTCCCTGACTGTTTGGAAGAACCTTCAGCTGGCCCTTTGGCTCAGCCCTTGTCCTGGCCTGGCTGAGTGGCCAGATGTCTGAGAATGTCTGAGAACAAGAAACTCGATTCTCAGACTCTGAGTTGGAAGGGACCTCAAAGATAATCCTTTGGAAAATGAAACGGGTCCAGAGAAAGGTAGTGACTTATCCAAGCTCCCACAGCAAGTTAATGAAAGAACAGGATTTGAACCCAGGGCTCTGGGTCTTGGCCCACTGCACCCCATGGGCTTGTCGTCTTTCCAGACCACACCACTCAGAGTTGACCAGGGCAGGAGGTGCGGGAGGAAGGGAGGGGTGAGAAAAAGGAGGGGTTGGAGGGCGAGGGGCAGATGGAAAGGGAGCTGGGGGGCAAGTGGGAGCCCGGTTGGAGTGGTGACATTAGACGGGGTGAGGTTCTGGCAAGAAGAAAAGGAAGGGAAGGTGAGCAGGGAGTGGGGAGAGCCTGAGGAAGAGGGGTGGCCTTTTTGCTCTGCCCCGGGAACTGGGAGGAAGTTACTTTGACAAGTGGGGATATGAGGCCCAGAGTGGGGTATTCACTTGTCCAAGGGCACACAGCACCAGGGCAGGGAAATTACAAAGGCCCAAGCTCCCCAGGTTTTCTCTGCCTGCTTCTTCACATCCCACCCCACCATTCCCAACACCCAGCTCCTACTGCTTTGATTTACAAATGGCCCGACAAGCGCCACCTGCAGCTGGGGCTTCCCACTGGCCCTTCCGCCCTCAGCCCCTCCTCGGCCCCCACACATTTGGCCCTGTCTGGAGGGGTGGAAGTGGCCTGAAGCAGAATTTCCTGAGCCTGGTACTCCAAGGTCTCCAAAGAACTGGGGATTCCCTTCCTAGGGGTTTCTGAGCCCTGTCTCAGTTCCTGGCCAAGTGCTCACAGATGGCCTCCTGCCCTCTCTACAAAGCCAGGGAAGACCCCACCCCCACTCCTTGAAGGAAGGGAAGGGGTTCCTGAAGGCTCAGAGAAGAAAGGCTCAGGGGATGGGGGCGCTGGACCCAGGCTAGACTGGACACAATGTCAACTCGAGGGGAGCAGGCAGGTCAAAGGACCTTGTATTGCAAATGATCCTCCTCCCCAGCTTGCCTGGGGCCTGAACTCCCCACCCACTCCACACCTTCTGGAGACAGGATGCTAAAGCATAGGCTTAGATTCTTTCATATCCAGGTCTGCATCCTAATTTCACTACTGTGTGCCCTTGGGCATGTTACGGAGCCTTGATGTTCTCATCTGGAAGATGGGGCTAATCAAGAGTTGCCTTGGCAGGGTTGTGCTGATAATGGACAAAGCCTGTCCACCTTATGGGTGCTAGATGCAGGGCTGCTCTTGGTATCATGATGGGAGCCTGAAAGGGAGCCCAGGCAGTGGCAGGAACTGGGAGCTATCAGGAGGTTGAGGATGTAAGAAAGGAGCCCAAATCGTGGGCCTAACCAGAAGGGACATTGGCAGGTCCTGAGAAGGCTGGGCTTGGCGGGAGAGGCTGCAGTGGGCTTGGCCTGCTTCCCATCTGTTCTTTGGCTACATGTCCTCCTTGGAGCTGCGAGAGCCCACCCCCCCTTGATGTGTCCCTAAGCTCAGGCTGCAGGTGGGAGGGTAATCTGTAAGCTGGGTGGCCTTGAGCATGTCACTTCACCCAGTGGTGTGTGGCTAAACAGGCCCTCTGGGCTGTGCTCCTCACAAGTGGTGAGAATGCCCACCTTCCTCTGCCCTCTAGGAAGAAGCTCTGTATTTTCTATCAGATCTCAGAGAGGTCTAAGACTTTCTCCAGGGCTACAAACCTCTGTCCCCAGATTTCACAGTGTTCTCCTATATCCCTGTGAAGAAAGGGTGAGCAGGATATTATTTCCATCATCTTATGGATGAGGAAACTGAGGCCTAGAGAGAGATCACACAAAGCTGGGGCCAACTGCCTTGAGACCTCCCTTGAGACCTGTCCTGCTCTTAAGTAGGATGGGGGAGAGGCCCTCTGGGTCGTGTCCACCCCTGCCGCCCAGTTCAGGCCCTACTCACCCAGGGGGTCTCCATCCACGATGCTGTACTCCACCTGGCCGTTGGGGCCTGAGTCCCGGTCGTGGGCCAGGAATGTCCACACTCTGGGCCCCGGCTGGCCCTCAGTGACATCAAATGGCCCCTCGTAGTCCCGGGGGAAGGTGGGCACGTTGTCATTGATGTCATTCACATTTACAAGCACCTGAGGTGGTGGACAAGCTTAGCCAGGGGTTGTGTCCCAGCCAGCCCTGGGGCTGGCCTAGCCCCTCGCTGGCCTCAGCTCCCGCACTGTAAACTGGACCCAATAATCCTGCCTTCTGAGGCTAATGCAAGAATCCTAAGGGATGATGGAAGTGGAAGGGCCTTTTAAGCTATGCATGTGGAAGAGTTATTATTGTCAAAGACTTTTAATGAACATGCTAATCATATTAATAATAATGCTATGAACTTCTAGTTATCACTGTATTCTGCTCATTTTACATGGTCTTATTTGTTTTTCCCACACTCTGAAAGGCAGCTTTATTATCCCCCTTTTGCAGATGAGGAAATTGGAGCTCAGGAAGGTTAAGCGACTTGCCTAGGGTCACACACCACTAGGAGGTGGAGAAGCAGGGATATGAACCTCTGCTGGTTTAACCAGAGTTTGTGCTCTTCCCATGAAGTCAGGAAGGCAGGTGCCATGACCTGTCTGATAGATGTAGCCACACAGAGTGGTTCAGTGACTTCCTCAAATACACACAGCCAGTTTGAGTTGCTGAGACTAGGGCAGGGCTCTTAGATTTAGGCATTTCCCCTGGACACTCAATCTTTCTTCCTCCTGCTGTGGAATTTTCTGGGTGCAGTCCTCTCCCCACCCTTAAGTGGGGGTGTGTTCCCCTCCACCCACCGTGGTGGTGGAGGTGAGGCGGTGGGACAAGATGGGGCACTGGTCTGTGGCGCTGACGATCAGGGTGTAGCGGCCATGGCTGATCTCGTAGTCCAGTTCCTTCGTGGCACTGATAACACCCTGGGTGGGGACAGAGAGGAAGAGTAGATCAATGAATGGTGGGTCTGAGCACCCTGGGAATCAGCTCCTTCATGGGGTACCCTCTGACCACCCTAGGAACTAGGCCCTGACCTCCTGGCCATGGTGGTGAACCCCCGTTGCCCTCTAGACCAGACCCCACCCTACCTGAGCTTTTCATTCTCCCAGCACTAGCTGCCCCCCAAGTTTCTTTCCAGACTCCATCTTCTCTCCCCACCTCCCATGATGTCACTGGGCTCTCCACCAATCCGTGCCCCTCCTCCTGGACCCTGCCATCAGCTGCTGACCGTTTGTCTGTTGATGCGGAAGGTGTTGATGATGTTGCCTGACACAATGGTGTAGGTCACCGTGCCATTGGGCCCCTCGTCCAGGTCCAGCGCCTGGATGGTGATGAGGCTGGCATTGATAGTGTCCGGGCCCTCATCCAGCAGCACCTCATAGTGGGGCTGCTGGAACACAGGTGCGTTATCATTCTCGTCCACAATGGTCACATACACATGGGTGGTGGCCTGTGGAGAAGAGCAGGGTCAGGTTCCTTGGTCAGGTGGCTAGAGGGGTTGAGGTGGAGCTAGCTGGATATTCTCCTAGGCTGAACTCACTCAGTGTGACCCCACCTCAGAAAGAATGAGAGGGAGGGAAGTCACAGGCTGGTGGAGGAGAAAGCATATGTTGCTGTTATCTTAGTTGAGTTGACCCCTGACTCATGGTGACCCCATACTCAGTGGAATGAGACGTTGCCTGGACAATGTTCTGTTGTGAACTATAGGGTTTTCATT